CGTAGATAATTGGTTTTTCTATGTGCAGATAAATGATTTCACATTTGAACCTGGAGTTTATTGGGAGGTTCATCAGAAGCAACATATTCGGCTTCACAACTACCGTTTGAACAGTATCAAGTTTGTCGAGATCATGGGCTATAAAAACCACTGGCATGAGCTTGATATAATGGAGTTCTTTGTCAGATACGCAAAATCTCTAGAAAAGTTAACGTTGACGAAGCCTAGAAACCCAAAGATCAAGCTATTCGAACCTGATAATGCAAGGATCAATTACATAAAAAGCATGTCTCAAAAGAAAGATCTCACTGAATTTATCTAAGGTTAAGTTCAGGTTGTGCTCAAGCATGCCAGATTATAATAGCTCTTTTGATGTGTCTGAAACGTCATAAAGAGTAGTGAAACAATCATTTAATGTTTTTTTCTTTTTCTGGTTTTTTTTTCTAGAATCGAACTCTATTTGTTAAAATAAAAAAAAATAAAAAACTATTTGTTTTCGTTTTTTTTTTCTCAGATTTGAACTTATGTGAGATCAATTAAGTCATTTTACACTAATATATGTCTATTCTGATCATGCTCATAAATATTTTAAGATCATTGCTATTTGGTTGTTGTTTATGATCTTGAGAATATATCTAAATAATATTTTTCAACTTATTGCAACGAGTTAATCATTGAAAATTTACCCACTTTATTCCAACAAGAGTATTATATTTGTCTTTTTTATGACATGATTTGATTAGCAACTTGGAAAACGTTTAATGCTAAAAATTTCAAAATAAATAAACATACATGAGATGTAAATAACGTTTCAGCTTGACACAATTTATATGGAGTGAAGTGATTTTGGTTAACGTTGGTATTTATTTTTTTTTTTAAACCTTAACGTTGGTATTTTCGAGGGATCAGAATGTGGGTGGGGTGCAATGTTTTCTTCAAGATAATATATAAATTTCGTAGTATATTGTGACTTGGTCAAGAAATAAAAGATTAGTGAACCAAACCGATTAATAGGTTTAGGTTCACTAATAAAAGATTAGTAAACTCAAACGGATTAATGGGTTTGCGCAAAAGTAGGATACTAAAAATTTGAGGGTCCAAGAATTTTATTAAACGTTTTTGGTGGAAAAAAAATATGAATGAAAGATCCCACTGAATTAAATTGGGTCCATGAATATAAGAAATAGTGAATTCTTGATCTCTCTCACTATTTCTCTTAATTTGAAAATCTAGGATTTGAATTGATGTCCTTTCATTGATTCTTTCTAAATTGCATTGATTTATCCTAAAGATTTCATTTCAATTGGAATTTAGTTATTCACCATGTACGAGAATCCATGGCTGAATGGTTAAAACGCCCAACTCATAATTGGTGAATTCGTAGGTTCAAATTATTACTGGATGCACGCCAATGGGACCCTTCAATAAATCTATTGGAATTGGTTCTGTATCAATGAAATCTTCTCATCATCAATACATAACACATATCATAACATATAAACAGTAAGAACTAGCATTCTTATTGAAACTAGATGATGTATTAAAGTTTAGGTTTGAACATTAATTAGTTTGGATTCACTATCTTTTATTAGAGTTTAATAGTCCAACATCAAAAATATTATCATCTCATTAGGTAACTACATTATTTTGTTGGTTTTATATTTTATTTTAATCCATGTAACTACATATCTTATAATATTTTTATAAATTTAGTTATCACATATCAAATCAAATATGTACACTAAAATTAAATTAATATTATTAATATAAAAGAAATGTTACATGATATAAAAAATTGTAAACAACAACACTATTACATTGACATATAGTAATAAACTGAATTAGAGTTTACACGTACATTAACTGAAAATTTTTACTAGTGTTAGATAATTTGTCTGCTAACAAAAAAAAAAAGAGAAACTAAAAATTGATTAAGTTTGGAAAAATGGAAAAAATAAGAAAATGGAGTTTAAATTGGAAGTTATTAAAACTCTAATTTTTTTTTAGTTTTTACCAGCTAGCAAAAACAGTTTAATTTCATAAGATGTAAAAGATAAATTTTAAATTTACCTAAAATTTTGACATGTATATAAAATTTTAGGGTGATTTGCAAGAATAATACCTTGGACAAAATCAATTAAGAAAATAGCATAGAAAAGTGGTCAATTAGTAAAATGACAGAAGTCAACTCTCCAGAGGGTGGGGAAAATACGAAACACCCCTTGCTCCCTTATCCCAAACACTGCTTTTCTCTGACATGGAAAGGACGTTAACTTTTGGAAAAGTTTCGGACGTTACCACCTAGTTAGGAACCATAACAGTCTACTTTTGAACATCAATTAGAGTGTATGTGCCTAGGTTTATTTCGTTAACTGTGTAGCAGACTAGGTTAATAAGAGGTCCCCTACCTTCTTAAAAGCCCTCTCTAAACTCATCAAGCTTTTACCACCGCTTAAGAAGTTCGAAAAGGTAATAGACGACTATTTCAGAATAAATTTGTTGGCTATTTTTCTGTTTCTAAAGTAGTTATCTGTTTCTAACTTTGCAAAATCTCGTACAGATGGTTGGAAAACAAATCGTTCTGCTAGTGAAGGGTAGATGGTTTGAAGATACACCGGGTGTTTGGGCTTTCTTGACAGACAAAACCGGTCACAGCCAAGGTGCTTTCTTGACCTCGAGGATGACGTATAAGGACGTTGTGAAAGTTGTGAGGGAGAAGTTCCAGTTAAGAGAAGAAGTAGGAGTCAGTCTGACATTCCAGTGGCCGTCTTACATGCTCATGGATGATGGCAAAGATGCACCGCCAGTAGCTGTTCATTGTGACGACGATATCTCTTTGTTCGTTCAAATGCGCTCAGAGATCGAGCAACTCAACCTATGTGTGACGGTTCACGACGAGGATAACGACTGTTTCCCACAAACAGCTTCAGTGGAATCAGGAAACACCGGGAAAGACGACTCTGGAAACACGTATTTCTCGGGTAAGTCCATTATGCTTATAATGTAGTTGACTACCAATATGTGTTTATCTTTTTTATTTTGTGTTGACTACCAATATGTGTTTATTTCATTTAGTAGTAGACTATGCAGATCTGACTATTTTAAATATGTTGACGATTCTGTGTATTTGAATATGTAGATCTGTTAAAATGCAGATCTGACTACTAAAATCGTTATGGTAGTCGAGTATTCACTTATTACATAGTAGACTACGTAGATCTGATTATTGAGACATTTATTTGGTAACATGGATGTATTACTTTTGGTAAGTGGATATGTGTATGCGATTACATGTAACGGTCTACCTCCCTAGTCATAGTTAAAGTATATGACTATAAAATATGTGAAATGCTGATATGCGTGCGTTCCTGATTTGCGTGTAGGAGGATGTGAAAAGATGGACGAATTAGCCGCAATTAGTCTTGCTGGTGAAGAGCCTGTTGGTTTTGGTGGCGGGAGTGATGAAGAATCCCATGCGGCTAACGACGAAGAACTGCATAACTTTGCCGTTGATGACTCTGCAGAGGGAAACAGTGCGGTGGTCAGAAAGAAGTGGAACGGAAAGGCCGTACTCGAGACAGATGAGGAAGGCCTTACTCAGAGAGAAAAAGGTGAAAGCAGCCGGTCAGCAAGTAGGTTCAGCTGCGCGCAGGAAACGATTAATGGTGTCTTCTCTGATCCAGGAGAAATACCGGCGATGTTTGGAAGAGATGCTCCTCCGGTAGTGGACGAAATTGATGATGACGGTAAATACTAGACAATGTTTAGACATTGATAATTGTTGTGTGAGTAGTAGACTATAATATAGTTTTATATGTGTTAAGGTATAGACAGTGCCTTGAAAGACGTCCGCTACGAGGGTGATGGAGTTTTTGTCGGCCGAATATTCAGGAACAAGGTGGAATGCAAAATAAAGATGGCTATATATGCAATCAACAGAAAATTCCACTTTAGGACTCCTCGCTCTACACCACACTTCATGGAATTCGTCTGTGTTAGCTCAAATTGCCGTTGGCGCGTGTACGCTTTGCTGATGGACCAAACCGGAAACTTCCAGATAAAAAAAGCTCAGCTGAAGCACACCTGCCCAATTGAAGACCGCAGACAATTCCACAAGCAAGCAACAACACAGGTCGTAGGGGAATTAATACAAACAAGGTATTCAACTATATATAATAAACTATTTCTCTGTTTACAGTTAGCATGTAATCGCTTACTTGTAGTACACTATCTTGTTTGTAGGTTTGTCGCAGGCCAAAAAGGACCGGGTCCTATAGAGATTCAGCGAATCATGCTACAGGAGTTCCAGGTAAACATCTCCTACTGGAAAGCATGGCGATGCCGGGATGTTGCTGTAGAGAAGGCTTTTGGGTCTGTGTCCGGGAGTTATTCATTACTCCCATCTTATCTTGAAAACCTGCGGGCCTCAAACCCGGGATCTGTTTGCAAAACAGAGTTCCAGCTGGATAAAAATGGATCCAAGCAGTTCAAGTATATGTTTATCTCATTTGCTGCCTCCATAGCCGGACTACCGTATTTAAGGCCTGTCGTTATTCTTGACGGCACACACCTCGTTGGGCATTATGGTGGATGTCTAATTTGTGCGAGTGGGCAAGATGGGAACTTCCAAATCTTCCCTATTGCTTATGCCGTCGTTGACAGCGAGAATGATGCAGCCTACGAATGGTTCTTCAGGTGTCTGTAGACGATCATAAAGGATGACAGAGGATTGATGTTCATCTCCGATAGACACTCATCAATCTACTCGGGACTGAGAAAGGTAACTACATATTATGTAATTGGCTACTTATATTTATTTATTGATTCTCCGTTTGCATTTACGAATCTGTATCCGATATAAATTTGACTACTTATAATTGCCTACAACATTGGTACCGTGTTTAATTAAGGTGTACCCGTCCGCTGGGCATGGTGCGTGTTTAGTACATCTAGCGAGGAACGTGACAAACCGATTTAAAGAGAGTAGATTGCCTGCATTAATGGTCCTAGCAGCAAAGGCTTATACGGTGTTTGAGTTCGGACAACTATTTGGCGAGTTGCGAAGCGTTAACCCGGCATGTGCCGAGTACTTAACGGAGTTGGGGCTACCTCACTGGACGAGAGCATACTCTGTCAGGCAACGGTACAATGTCATGACAACCAATGTCACCGAGTCGCTGAACAAGGTACTGAAAGAATGTAGGGAATTTCCCCTAATTTCCATGCTTGAAGCGATACGGATGAGCCTCATGGGCTGGTTTGTAAGGAGAAGGGCTAAACACGCTGCTGAGATACATCCCCTGACAAGTAAAGTGCGAGATATCATGGACGAAATCTTTTTAGAATGCACCAAAATGAAGGTAATAGTCATGAATAGTAGTCGTCTATTATTATAAGTCTATATTTAGGTGATTATAAGGCAGATATTGGGCTACGTAACTGCATACTGATAGTAGACTATTTGTAATTTTCAGGTGATTGTGGTAAACCAGAATGAGTTTGAAGTTTACGACCCCAGTGGAGTTAGGTTTGAAGTGAATCTGCAGTCCAAAATATGCAGCTGCCATGCAATGGCTGCCAGCTCGTACGGTCAGATTGATAACAATACCCTTGTCGGAGAAGTATACACCACATGTTTTATGAGATCGCTGTACGAGGGGGTTTTCCATCCAGTACCAACACCTGTAAGTACTGGTGAGTCTGAACTGCTTCCTCCAATAATGCGCCGACCACCTGGACGTCCAAGAAAAACCAGGATCCCATCTCGTGGCGAATTCAAGGTTCGAAATCAGTTACTTAAGTTTGTTTATGGTAATAAATAGTTTTCTACCATATATTCGAATAATTTTTGCCTTTTTCTTTTGTGAGTCAGAGACGTTCGAAAAAGAAAGCGGTCAGACTTTGCACAAGGTGTCTAGGTCGTGGTCACAACAGGGCATCCTGCAAACTTCCGGTGAAGGATAAATGAAAAGTTAATCACCGGGGGTGTACTTAGCTACTGAGGGAGAGTAGCTGCTTTAAGTCGTTTAACAGACTCCCTTATCTATCGTGTGTTATGTGGTTTGATGGTTTAGTTTCTTAAAATTCGAAATTGAAGAAGTGTAATTTGATTAGTTTAATGTAAAGACGTAATCTGGATATATTTGAGTAGTTGTCTATATAATAGATATCTATATAAATGTGTGAATCGAAGTATTTGATGACTTGTTATTGACTTAGTAGATCACGTATTGGTAGTTAGCTATTGATAATCAGCTATTTATTATGGACTTAGCATATCAGACTTCCAACAGAGAAAATACTATTAATCTAAACATCTATTGATAGTCAGCTATTTGCATTACAGATGACAGCAACACACATGAAAAAAAGATGACTAAAAAAAGATGACTAAAACAGATTACCCATAACGAAACTTTGCATGTCTGTTAAGTACCATAAGCTTGTTGAAGAAATAAGGGGAGAATTGTTTTAAAAACATAAGTAATACAAGGGACTAATACAAGGAACATGCGCCAAATGATGTTGAAGGAAGATTCAGGGATCAGTCGCCGGGGCTGATGAAATTGGTTGCTCGACTTTACATAGTAGGTCGAAAGCGTAGGTTAGAGCTGCATCACGGACCAAGTCGTCTTCAATGACAGTGTCGACCGGCATGTTCTCTGAGTGGAGCTGAAGTAGCATGAGTGTAAGTATGGCGCTGTGACCTGGTACAAATGAATACAAACACCATCACAAAATTAAATAGTTGTCTACATATAGTTAAGTACCTTGATTTGCTGATTGAAAAACAGGCTTAGCAATTGAAATGTTGAATGCGTCTAGGGTGTCGTTCTTCATCTCTGAGTTGTACGCTACTCTCCTGATGAAGTGTGGAAGAGATTCGGCAAGTGGTACTATGAGGGTCTTAAGCTTCATCTCCTTAATTGTTGGGTTGCAATTAAAAACAGCTATATCGTGTGCCTCCAAATCGATGCAAAGACCAATCCAAAGCCTACCATCTATCTGGAAGGGACAGTAGAGACGACCAACTACAGTGTACCAAGGAAATCTGTTTTTGATGTAGGATATGGTGCCTTTAGGCAGGGTTATCTTGGCCTTCTTCGAGTTTGATAGAAATTGGTCATGAAGCCTGAAAATTTCGACGATTAATCCGAACTCAACGAAATCGTAATTTATGGGATGAGCTTCTCTGGTAGCCCACAGCTCATCACGAATTGAGGCAACTATGGCATTCATGCACTATTTAAAAAAAATGCAACTATTAGTAAACAGATAAACCCTAAATATGTAAGCGAGTAAACATATACAGTAGTGACTTAGCTCACTAATGGGCTCACTGGCTTGTTACAAGACATTATCTGATTAAAGATGTTCGAAGGAAGGCGAATGCCATACCAGGAAGGGAAAAGGCTAACAAAAACAAAGTAAACAAATATCAACTTGTTCAGATATAAACTCGTGTTGGTGATAATGATTAAAGAACATCAATACTAAACACTGACCTGGTTTCTTTAATTTTGGCTTCAAGGAAGGATACTTGTTCAGAGGTCGGTCTATGAAAGAAAGAAGACAACTCTGCAGATTTGTCGGTCTTTTCTGCCGTTTTTGAGGGTAAACAAAGTCTGCAGATGTAGCTGCAGCTCTGGCGCGCACGCTTTTACGTGTTGGAGGAGGACATTTGGAAGAATCTCCAACATCCGTTTTTCTCTTATCCTCTTGTTCTCTTAGCTGAGATTCCTCGCGGTTTTTCTCTTCCTGCGTTAGACCTAGTGAAAAAGCTGGAGGATCGTCTACTATTGGCTTCAATAGTACCTAATAATATTCATATACAAATTAGTCAGATGTAAACTTAAATGAAATGTAGTTATGAAGTAGTTGGCTACATACCTGTTCTTTATCCGAAACAAAAATGGAAACGCTTGAGTCATCATGGTCACCGGTAACCTGAAACATCACCAACTTTGTAAATAGGCAAAGTTTTTATCAATAGATGACTACTAGTAGACGAATAGTAACCTTTCGGGGCTCGGGAATTGGATCTTGGACAGCTGCAATGTCCTCTGTCTCCTGTAAACAATAGGAATTAGGGTATGTCAAATAACTGACTACCGACTAAATAACTATACATAGACAGGGTCGTTTATACACAAATAATAGAGTAGATAACTAATAGTAGCTGAATAGAAACCTTTGTGTTTGCAGGCTCGGAAATTGGATCTTGGACGTCTGCATAGTCCTCTATCTCCTGTAAAGCAAAAGCAATTAACAAGGGATATGTCAAATAACTGACTACCGACTGTATAACAATACATAGACGGTGTCATTGGTATACAAATCGATAGTCTATATAAAAGGTTTTTGTAAAGTAGATGATTACTGGTAGACGCATAGAAACCTTTGTATTTGCGGGCTCGGAAATTGGATGTTCGACGTCTGCATTGTCCTCTGTCTCCTGTAAAGCAATAGTAAGTAACAAGGGATAAGTCAAATAACTGACTACCGACAATATAACTATACATAGACGGGGTCTTTGTATACAAATAAATTAAGGAGATATAAGGTGTTTTGATAAAGTAGATGACTAGTGGTAGACGAATAGAAACCTTTGTATTTGCAGGCTCGACGATTGGATCTTGGACGCCTGCATTGTCCTCTGTCTCCTGTAAAGCGATAGTAATTACAACATGTGTAAAATCTGACTACCGACAATATAACTATACATAGACGGGGTCTTTGTATACAAATAAATTAAGGAGATATAAGGTGTTTTGATAAAGTAGATGACTAGTGGTAGACGAATAGAAACCTTTGTATTTGCAGGCTCGACGATTGGATCTTGGACGCCTGCATTGTCCTCTGTCTCCTGTAAAGCGATAGTAATTACAACATGTGAAAAATCTGACTACTAACTAGATATCTATTTATTCAGTTATCATTTACTCACTGCTATTGCGTACCTGTATATTTGGATCTGTTACAGGAATGGACGAAACTGGGAGATTGGTACTTTCATCTACCCCCAGATCACAGGAAATTAAATCTTGAAGTACCTGATAAATCGTATTAGTCGCCTTGGTAGCCTCATCGGTGAAAGTAAATTCCTTTTCAACTTCAACTTGAGAACCGTCAACACCATGACCAGTTTTTGGTTCATTCACTTGATTCTCCCCTTCCTGGGCCGCTGCGTTATCTAGTCCCTTTTCATTCCCCTTGTTCTCTTCATTCCCCTCGTAGGTTCCTTGGTTATCTTTTTGTTGTTCTTTTCTTTGAACTTTGTTTGAGGTTGTAGCGGGCAAGGTGTCAGTAGAACGATTCGTCTTTTTGAATTTAGTGAACTCGGTGCGTAAAGCGGCTAGCTCATTGACTGCCGATTTGACATCACGTCGAATCATCCGAAAATCAGATGAAAGTGTGTTAACCGCATTCAAAATGCTGGAATTTCCAGCAAGTAATTTCTCTAAAAATGCAGATACACCGGAATCGTCATCCCCATCGGATGCGGATTTTCGTGATGTTGAGGATGATGGATGTTTTGGAAGCTTACTATGTTCGGATGCCTTTACTCCGCCAACGAAGGACTTGTTGGTGAATGCAGTTCCATCTTCAATGGCACTCAGCAACTTTTCCACCTTGGAGTCCTCCTCGTCGTCGTCCATAATCTCCTCGTCTAAGACTGAGTCCTCATCATCGAGGATGTGTTTTACAACGACCTAGTAATAGTAGTCAATTACTACTAGTGTACTATTTTATAATAGTATGATTGATATGTGCATGAAGTAATTGACTATATAGTAGATGTGTACCTTGGCGTCTTTGTCAACTATTTTGACATGATTCATCTGAAGTGTAATTGGTTTCTGGGCACCGGGCGTATTAATGGGAGATCATCGTCGTCCTCATCATCATCAGCTAAGCTTGGTTTCTTCCCCTTAACATCCTTAGACAACAAGTTGGGGACGCAAGCTAAAACCACCATTTGAAGGGCGTGTAAGAAGCTCTGAATCGCACAGGTCGGCTGACAGAGATTGGACAGAGTAGCAGTTCTCGTTTTGATGCTTTCCATGGTGATGTCAAACGATTTGCGACCCCAAGGATATGAGAGAAAGTCATCAACATCTCTAACCATCAAGATATGATCCCCATTAATTTTTGTATTCTTAGAGGTGGGGCACACTATCTCGTCAACAAGTAGTAGACAAGCAAGCTTGAATCTGGTATCTTTTTCCTTGTACGGCCTGCCCAAAAGAGTATTGGCTATCCAAAGTGGAGTTGCGTTTTTCTCAGACCCAAACAATTCTTTAGTGTAACTCTTGATTTCATCATCGTCACCTTCAGATGTCGAAGGTAGAGACGAGCAATCCAAACCAGTTGCAATAACGAACTCCCTCATCGAGAAACGAATTGGCTGACCAGAGAAAAGACACCATATCTCTTTCTTCTTACTGGTAACGAGTTGCCTAGACAGCAGATAGTGGAGAAACCTAACGGAAGATGCGATCTTGTTGCCAGCTTGAAAAAGTTTCCCAAATTGGGAGTCCATAAGCTTTTCTATGTGGTCATCTTCAAGTGCGAAGGTAATAGCATTGAGGTAGTTCAGCTGGAAGTACGTGTTTACCTTCTTGTTTTGAGGTTCGTAGCCGAACTTGAAGAACCTCTCCGGGAATGGACTCATCGAGTTATGACTGCAAAACAATTAACGACTATTAGTAGCTTTCTACATATTTTCGGTAATAAAATAAGCAGCTACTTATAGTTGACTACAAATAGTCTAAATGTAGATCTGAAAGTGGACCACTATTAGTAAATGGCTATGGCGTACGGATGCGCATAAGTACGCTATTACATAACATATAGATTTTAAATTTTATATAAAATTGAAATAGATAGTCACAGACATGCAAGTCAGACAACACGAAAATTAGCATCACCTTCGAACAGGATAAAAAAAAAATTTAAGTGCAGAGAGGACTTCGAATGGAAAATAGAGTGTGTAGATGATTTCGAACTGGACGATAGATAAGGACTTACGCTGGTAACAGGAGAAGATGATGATGTGTTCACGGCGCAGTGTAGATGAAGTGCAGACTTGGTTCTAATTAGGTTTTGGAAATTCTGGGAGAGTAACTATTGAATTAGATGAAAAAAGAAGAGGAAAATGAATCGAAAAGAAAGACGACGAAACGGTTGTGGGTTCGTCTGCGAAAATAAAGGAGAGGAAATGTTTTGCAGACTTGAAATGATGGTTGGAATAAGTTTTTGGTTTAAATTCAATTTTTAGCGGTTCCCAAAGCAAAAAGCAGTTGTCACGCTCAAAGAAGAAACCGCTATGTTAGTGTTACTCAAAGAGTCTATGATGAACAGAAAATAGGTGTATTTTTGACTTTCGATAATGGTACTTAAGATATATTCCCTGATTCCGTCCGAATAGTTAACGAATCACAGAGGACTATTAAAACAAAAAAGTAATCGACTACAAATAGGTACATATAATACTATAATTAAAAGACCTGGTTCACAAACCAATGAAGTACACTAGACCAACGAGAACATACAACGTCCTTACTGAGAACACATTACATAGTCAAATATTAGTAGCTGGTACAAAAAAAAAGACTACTACAACGTAGTACATATAAGCAACAGACCATAAGGAATTGAAGACAAATCTAACAGCTTGGATCGAACACGAATCTGGCAGTTTGGTACTGGGTGTACAAGTAGCATAGCTCGCAGCAAATGAGGTGATGTTTCCAACGGCATCTGGGAAAATCAGTCAAGACCTGAGGCAACTTGCATCGGTCATCAACTACCATTAATTTTGCTGTGTCCATCACCTCATCACCAATCTGAATCATGTGGCCCATGCGGTTTCTCCACCGATCTATACGGTCTAACATCTCTAATCCGAACGGGTAGTGACCACATGCAGTGGCACATATTGCAGCCATTAGAGTCGACGCGTCAACACCCCCCTTGGATGCCTGATTGAGGAAAGTAAGAGAACCTAAAACATCGAAATCAACAATGACCCGGGACATACCTCGGAGATACAATGCAATAGGGTTCCCGGATTTTATAGCTGACTCGAAGAAAAGAGGGTATCGATTCATTAAAGTGGGATCTTTAACGAACGAGGCGATGTTGATGACCTTCACGACAGCAGGATTTTTCAGAATTCGATTTAAGGTACGACATGAACAACCGAAAGACACAGCGTCCTTCGGAGCTTTTTAGCTACTTGTAGCAAAATATCGAGCAGAACATCCTGAATCTGGAGAAGAACATCATTTACGGAGGTTGTAGTGTTGTGTACTGGAATGTTGGCCATGCTGTAAAATCGGTAGCCAGATATTGTTAGTTGACTATTTAAAGGTATGGGAATACCTATACAGAACTGAATCAGAATGTAGATCTGGCCGTGAACTAGTTTATGAGCTTCTAAGAATCATCAAAATGGTAGATCTAAAATTACAAAGATGAAATTTAGTGGAAAAATGACCTTACCCAGAAAAATATGGATGATAGTGAATTCGAGGATATCGATGTGGTGAATTCGATGTGGTGAGTTTTACCGTCGAAGAAGCTTCGGAGGAAAAAAAAGAGAGCAAATCTGGAGGATATCGAGAGACGGGAAAGCGGCCGATACGTGCCTCCACTGCACGTACTGGTACCATTTCATGCCTGTATTTTTGTGTTGTGCCTACACGTGCCTGTACTTTATAAATTGTGTAAATTGATACCCGAACCGTATTTGTTTGGCCAAAACCTACATTGACTTTTGATCCGTTAGTCAACTCTGTTTAATTTTTAACGGTTGCTTACTCATCTGCCACGTTGAATATTCATATATAACGAAACGACGTCGTTTTGTTGGGAAAAAAAAACTTTAACGAAACGACGTCGTTTTGTTAAATTCAGGGAAAAAAAAATTTGTAGCCACCAGGAGTCGAATCCCACACCTCAAATATTTAACCATAACCGATACCACTAGACCAATTCGATTAATCGTATTTTATGCCGATGTTATATTATATATAGAAATGAAAACCTTTTATTAGAAAAGGATGAATACGACGTTGTTTAGTTATAAAGGGCTTTTAAAAATTTGTAGCCTCGGGATTTCGAACCCAGCCACTCAATCACTAAACCAATTCCGAAACCACAAGACCAACTGGATTAATTGGTGTTCTATCGAAAGGTAATAGTATATATAACAAACAAAAATCTTATATTGAAAAAAACGAAACGACGTCGCTTAAGTTATAAATTACTTTTTTAGAAATCTCATCTTCTTCGTTGAGCTTTGTCGAGCTCTGTGTTTAAAATTTGGGGAAAAACTCGAAATTAGGCATCGTCATCGAGTCACAAGGCTTCGTCCGCAAATCCAGGTATGCCCAACGCTTCTATAGTGAAGTTTGATTGATTTTGGGTTTAAAATTTTCGACAAAGCTCGACGAAGAAGATGAGATTTCTTAAAAAGTCATTTCTAACTTTAGCGTCGTTTTCATTTTTTCTAATAGAAGGTTTTCGTTTGTATATATATACTATAACCTATCGATTGAATACCATTTAATCGAATTGGTCTATTGGTTTCGCCGTTTCGGCATTGGTTTAGTGATTGAGTAGCTGGATTCGAATACCCGAGGCTACAAGTTTTAAAAAGCCCTTTATAATTAAGCAACGTTGTATTACTTTTTTCTAATAAAAGGTTTTCGTTTCTATATATAATATAACATCCCGGTTAAATACCAATAATCGAATTGGTCTAGTGGTTTCTGGTGTTGTTAAATCCTCAAAGTGTTGGGTTCGACACGAAGTGGGTACAAATTCTTTTTTTTTCCAGAATTTTATAAAACGACGTCGTTTTGTTATATTTATATACGAATGTTCCGTTCCAACGTGGCAGATGAGTCAGCAACCGTTAACAATTAAACAGAGTTGACTAACGGATCAAAAGTCAATGTAGGTTTTGGCAAAAAAAAATACGGTTCGGGTATCAATTTACACAATTTATGAAGTACAGGAACGTGTAGGCACAGCACAAAAGTACATGTATGAAATGGTACCAGTATGTGCGGATGAGGCACGTATCGGCCGCTTTCCCTATCGAGAGACTAATCGGGTTCTTTTTTGAATTTGAAATTCAAATACAAGAAAGAGAAAGATGTGTATATGTAGACGAAAATTCAGTAAATAAGAAAGAGAAATTTCTGTTCAAAAAGTTTTACATTGTCAGACAACAAAAGTTTGCAGTGTTAGAGGGAAAAATCGACTACCATTGATAAAAGAAGAGTGTGGGGTGCTGGGTAATTTCTCACCCATTAAACTGAATAAAATAATAGTGCAAATTTGTTCTCTGAAACATAATATCCCACCTAATTTCCCAAAATTTTAAGGCATTTTTTTATTAACAAGACACGTGTCTACATTATGTCTAACTACTCTATATGTAAATTATGGAAACAAATTATACTAACAAACATCCAAACATTTCTTCTTGAATGTAATTAAATTTATTGGTTAAGAATAGTAAATAATATAATATATTTGGACATAAAAATTAATATATAGCTATTATATATATATATCCAAAAAATATGTTTATGGACAAACCAAATTTTCATTACATATTCACATATTTTTATTATATATATATATTTTAATGTAAATATTAATATTTTACACAATGTAATGCATAAATATATATATATATATATTTATTAATATCTTACATATGGTAAAAGGTAGACAGCCAATCTGTTTCTTACAAAAGTATAGAAAGTATAGAAAGTACAGCTTGTATCCCTATATATGTAAAAACAAATAAAATTAATGTACCATAATTATTCACTCCATACATGCAAACAACTCATTCAATAGAAAATTGAAAACAAAGGCAAGAAAATCTGAGTTTTCCAGTCTGCATATAACTCACCGAAAATTATAGCGAGAATCCACTGCTCTCTCTAAGAGTATTGTGAAAATGTTAGAATCTTCGAATAAGAAGATAAAGGTCACTGAAACTTTGCCCGACGACCTGGTGGACCACATCATGTCGGTATGTCTCCCAATTCAATCTGTTTTACGAAATCGTTTTGTATCCAAGAAGTTCAAATCTACAGAGATTCGGTCCCGATATCTTGATTTCAGCAAAATCTATTCTGTAAGATGCAGTCAACTAAGAGCTGTAAGCTTCATCAACTCGGAGATTAATCGATTTGTTCTACTTCTCAATCACATCGGTGTGGAAGACAAGGTACTCTCATGGGTCAATACATGTCTTGGTAAAAACATTCAAGAGCTTGTGTTGGATTTCTCTAAATCAAATACAGTTTTCGAGATCCCGGTTGATTTCTCGGCCATCGAGACGCTAACAGTCTTGAAGCTAGGATGGTGTAAGTTCAAAATACCGGATAATTCTCCAAAGGGTTTAAAGTTATTGAAGACACTTGTGCTAACGAAAATTGATAGAGTGACAAAAGAGATGATAGATGCAATATTCACCAACTGCATCCACCTCGAGACGTTTGAGCTAATCAAATGTCAAATGTATGGGATATTGAGCATCAACGCTAGAAACCATAAGAAGTTTAGGTTGCTAGTCGTTGATTCTATGCGGAATCTCTTGGACATTAAGTTGGATTCACCTACTCTCAAATGCTTCAAGTATTATGGATATGTCAGGAAAGTTGACTTTTCAAGAGTCTATGCAATTAAAGAGGCAAATTTCCATTATAAGCGGAGTTACGATTGGCATTTTTACGATCCATCTGATATGGTGCTGGGCTGCTGGCTAATATGAGAGCCTATACAAGATTTCAGGTCCTTGCAACGACAAACATCTTTCTTGAGGTAAGTTTTTTTTTTTTTTTTTGTAATCTAGTTTTTATAAATTTATAAGATAGTTTTTGTAAGAGTTATAATAGCTGTGTAGAATTTATGATATCATTTTGAGATCATATGCACGAGTTGGGAAAATGTTTATCTAAGACGTCTACATGAAGTTTCTATGATGATCTAAAATCTGATTATGTTAATCTTAAGCGAGCAGGTGAATCTGATTAAATTACAAAAAGTACTTGATCTGTAGAAATGATGAGATGAAGTTCAACATAGATAAGGTACAGTTAGATCTGACACTGAAACAAAGAGAATCTGATAGAAATCTTATTCTTTAAGAGTTTAGGTACTCATTTTTAAGCATGCATCATTATTAAAGCTCAAGTGATTAGATTTTAGAGGTATCATTTGCACAAACTCTAAATATTTATGATAGAGAATGTTCATCACACATAGACTGCAGCTTTCACATGTGTTTTTCTTTTGATTATAAATTTTCACTCTTGCTTTAAAGTGAGTTTTGATGTTTCCTTTCACATGTATATGTATAGGCTTTCACGTATAGGTACATAGACGGCAACATGAGAAACCCGACTTTCTGTTTTGGGAACTTACAAGAATTTCAGATATGTTTTAAAGCTCCATCAATTTGCAATCTTTTTGTCATCGCTGGATTCCTCAATCAGTGCCCTAACCTCAAAAAGGTTTTGATCGATGTAAGTCTCTCTCTCTCCACCTATATATATGTGTGTATATTAATCTAGCAAAACAATACTTCTCTTCTACCATTGGACTAAGTCCATTACAACTTTGGTTTGCTATGTGTAGATAAATGATTTCACATTTGAACCTGGAGTTTTTTGGGAGGTTCATCATAAGAAAAAAATTCAGATTCAAAACTACCGCTTGAACAGTATTAAGTTTGTCGAGATCATGGGCTATAAAAATCATGGGCATGAGCTTGATATAATGGAGTTCTTTGTCCGGTACGCAAAATCTCTAGAAAAGTTAACGTTGAAGAAGCCGAGAAACCCAAAGAGCAAGCTATTCGAACCCAATGATGCAAGGATCAATCACATAAAAAGCATATTGCAAAAGAAAGATCTCATTGAATTTCTCTAAGGTTAAGTTGAGGTTGTGCCCAGGCATGCCAGATTATATAGCTCTTTTGATGTGTTTAAAACATCATAAAGTGTAGTGAAACAATCATTTCATGTTTTTTTCTTTATGGTTTGTACTAGATCGAACTCTATTTGTTTTCGTTTTTTATCTCAAATTTGAACTTGTGTGAGATCGAAGTGCTTTTAGAGTAATATATGTCTATTATCATGCTCATATACAGTACGTTATCTAAGAGGACTTCAAATATAATTTCATTTACTGCAGTGGATCATTCTCAAGTGAAGAATGCCATGAGGCGGAGGAAATATTTTTCTTTTTTTCTTATTGAATTTGTAGATGCAGTCAATAAGAGGTTGTACACATCATTGAAGATTATATTTGTGGTTCATAGGGGCCCAAGGCAAAATTAAAAAAATGAGGCCTTTTATTTTTTAAAACATATTATATAATCTCAAACGATTTAATATATTCAAAACCAAATTTTAATTTTAAAAAATTAAAACATAATATTTCCTTCTTTTTTCAATAAAGATCTTAAGAGATTATCAATACTATTTATATTTTATTTTCTTTTCAAAAAAACAAAATGAAATCTAAGATCGAAAATCAGATTGGTTTTGTTCATCATGGCAAACTTAATTGTTTTTCATCTTCGTATAACTATTCAAAAAATCTACGATAAACAAGAGAGAGAACATGTAATAAAGAGATGACATGAAACACATCCACACAGAGGAATTTAAAATAAAGATTCCTTTTCAGAATTTTGATTTACTTATTTTTTTCTTGTTTAAAAAAGGAAAATCCTCTGTGTGACTGTGTTTCATCTCTTTATAACTCAAGTTTAAGAGATTATCACACTTAGATTTGAACTCGTTTGTACAAAAATCCCACTTTAGCCACGCTGATACAACAGATTTTTAAAAATCAAGGGTTTCAAAACATTTATATTTTATGGGGCCTGAGGCAAAAGCCTTAGGCTTGGCGCAGGAACTAAGCTCATTATATTTTTTTGTTTGCGCAGATTCAAAATTTGTCATTTGAACCCGGTATGTTTTGGAAGATTTCATAATACAGCTATTCAGAAGAGGCTGCCAGTTTGACTCTATCAGGGAAGTCGAGATCAACGGCCAGACCTTTGGCATGAGTTTGATATAGTGGTGTTTGTTGTCAGGCACGCAAAATTTCTAGAGAAATTATAGTTGATGATGCTTAGAAACATAAGAAACAGAGCTCACAGACCCGATTATGCAAGGATAAGTAACATAAGTTCAAGTAAAGGAAGTTTAAATTCAGGTTATGACCAAGCACTGTTAACAATAATAGAATTCTAATGTATCTGAAACATCATTAAGAGTGAAACATATTAACTGTATGTTGCTTTTTGATGATCGTATCTAGTGTTTGAACTCTCTTATTTATCTATTTTTGGTTTCTCTGAGATTTGAACTCTTTTTTTTTTTTTTCTTTGAGTTTTGGGCTTATTTAGGATCATTGAGATCAATGTGCTTTTGGACTAATCTGCTAACATATTCCCATGCTCATACACCAACAAAAAAGAATCGAAAAAACAGTTGATGCTATTTTGTAGTTTGTATAACAATCATATATGCTAAATATGTATGATTTAGCATTAATTAAAACGGGGTATATTATTAGTAATTTGGTTGGCATCCGTTGAGTAAATCCGACACTAACCAATCTGATTTTAGGTAATTTATAGTTCATTAAGAAAAATAAGGCACTTAAACGACTTGGTATATATTGGTTAAGGGAAATAGGAGAAAAATAAATGAAGACCTGATCGGTTCGGTTTAGTACCAAACCAAACCACTGAAATTCGGATATATTTTATAGTATTGCTGTTCGGTTCCCTCGGTTCGGTTAAAAGACAAATGCCTAGAATACTCCATCTCTAATAATCAAATTTTTTTCTTTAATTCGATAATAATGTGTAAAATCTAAAAACCCAATTACAGTATTCATAATTAATTAGAGACCCAACAATTTGGATCGGGCAATATGAAGATTCGATGGAATCGGGTCGGATCTATCATATTTATTGTTTTTAATTTTTCTTCTAATTTATTTAACTTTATAAATTCAAAAAAAAAAAACAATCATCGCCGAGACCTGAGAAACGTCCCCAATCGGAATCCCTACCTCCGTAGTGGAAGGAAGGCGTGCCTTCAAATTCATCTTCATCGCAATTCAATCAATCAAGCTCTTCTCTAGAATAGCTCATATGAAGATGACCACTGGAAACCCCACTGTAGATAAATTTGCTCCTCCGACACTAAGTCAATTGCGTGAAATGGTGAGACACCATCAAGAACCAGTGAAAAGTGGAGCCGATAAAAGTGATGACGAGGGTAAGTCGTCTTTGTATGATACGAGTGTAACCAAAAACAAAGTTGAAGGCAGTCCCACTACGGATCCTCATTCCCCTAATGTAGGTATGTTTGGAAACGGATATTGATATTGTTTTGGGTAATAAGTAAAATTGGTATAACTGAGTAAAACTAGACTAACTAAGTAATACTGGTATAACTAATTTAGGAGAACACCGAGGAAAAAGAGAAGAAATAGAGTCCGAAGGATAAAGAGGAAGAGGAGGAAGAAAAGCACCAAGAGGAAGACGTAGAAAGGGACCAAAAAATGGAGGCTTCTCTTTACTGTTTGTTTTGATAGACATCATAGTTTGTCTTCAGAACGTATCTTAACAACTGTTCTTTAAATTCATTGCCACTCTTGAATGTCTTTATTAACCACAAGTATGGAGGCTTCTCTTTACTGTAATGCTTTCTTGTAGTCTCTCTTTCAACTCTGTTGAACCCTTTCCACTCGTTGTCTGTAACTTCCGCAGAATCTGGATGTTCAGCATCCCTACACTGTCTCTCGAACTCAGCCTCAGCATCAGTATTAGGACCACTGTGTTCACCATCAGCATTCGGAGCAATTTGCTCAGCTTCAGAGTTAAGAGCATTCTGATCTGCATTATGTGCATTTTCATCCTCTCCAAAGCTATCATTCACCTCACTTAACTTAGCAATATATTCATTTTTTACTTCAGCCATAAGATTGAAATCTCTCATCATCGCCTCTTTCTTCTATAACTTCTTCTCCTCTTGCGAAGTCTTCTGGGTATGGGTCTTTAGGAGCTTTATCATCATCAATATCATCACCATCAGACTCACCACCTTCGTCCTGTATTCCTTGATACAAGACAACGGCTTGACTCACACTTTCTTCGTTCTCTCTTTCCTCATTCTCGACAGTCGGAGGAAGTACAATTTGCTTAAGATAAACATCGACTTCGCCTCCTACACTAGCTTCAGCACACATTATCATTAATTCCTCATCAGAAGAGAGGTAAAATATAGCCATCGCTGAGTCCATAGTCTCATGCGGCAGCTTATACCATAGTTGTTCCACCTTGCCGCCTCCTATGTCATGTTTTTTACAAAATTCATCGAAGATGCTCTAAGTCACAAGATCTGGATCGATAATTAATCCCTTCTTCACAAATCTCTTGTGTATTAGCCGCTTAGAATCCTTGAAGTACATAAGCCCTCCATAATGCAAATTGATTTTTATGGTGTCACTGCATTATTAAAAGAGAAGCATGAGATATCACTCAAAAATCTCATACCTCATCTAAGCACAAAATTGATATATGATGCTGCTAGGGTTGAAGAGGTCCCAGATGAAGTTGTAAATTTATAAACCCTAGTGTCTGCAAGTTCACAGTCGTGCGTTGTAGTACTTAGGGTATCGATCCACAGGGAGAGTTACCTTTTTTGCAGAAACTTCAAACTGGATTAGTAATCGAAGTCAAAGACCAATGGGGGTTTTTGTGGGGTTTTGGTGTCACGATTTCTACTAAGCTAAACAAGAAATAAAAATAGATTAAAACAAAGATGAAAAATGTGTCGGGTATTAGGGTTCATCTTTAGGGTTCATGTTCTAAAACACTAGGAATTTAGGCAAGGATTTTCTATGACTCTGAAACTAGGATAAACACTTGTAAGATTAGCCAACTCTCATCACCATAATCATCTAATCACTCATTCATGGCAATTAACTCTCGCACTCATGCCAAAACAAGATCATGCATTTCAGATCGGTATCCATCTCGGCTTACGTATCCTTCGTAAGTAGCTTTCGTCTCCTACGGCGGTGACGTCCATAAGATCCAGTTCAGATAACCCAGATACAACATTCTCGTGGTTCGGATTTAACCTAGGATCGGACACTGGTTAGCTACTCCAACGTTACCGCATTGAGATTTGGATGAATGGGAGAATCATATTTAAAATCAAAATCCTTTAACCTAAAAAACCTAGATGTCATCGATCATGGGGTCCCTTTTGATGGTCCTCTTACCCAACAAAGTATCTACTCAGACATGGCTGAGCTTGACAACATCATCATTAGTTTTGAAATGGAAAAGCAGTAAAGTAAAAGAGATTGCATAAACTAAATAGATAGATGAAAAGAAACAGCAAATGTTCAAGAGAAGAATCTCTATCTCCTTAGTCTAAACTTAAGAAACAAAAGTTAGGTGCCTCCCTAACAAGGGGAAAGGAGCACACCCGAAATTAGGTCTTCTTAAATACATATTTATAGGTCTCCAAGTGTTTCTGGTCGTCCTTAGGGCTTCTTTGAAGAGAGAGTGAGTTGGACTTGAAAACAGGCCATTTGGACCGAAAATAGGCTTGTCGCAGAATAGGGCTCTCCAAGGCTGGTAAATGTGGGCTCACCGTGGGTGGAGGTTATGATGCGTGGCCAGGATAGTGTTCACCGCGGTCACGAGCTCCTTGACCACGATGGTTGGCTTATGATGTTCAAACTTCATTCCTTCTCTTGCTTCTTTCGCGAGACTGCAGAACATGTCTTTAGTAAATTGGGTATAACTTATAATCCAACCGTTGGATTACGTCCAATACAATTACATTCGAAAGCTGGTTCTCTCTTATATCTTGTGTCCAAATTTGAGCTTGATCTGAAGGTGAGAGGTTCTTTATCGGATGTGAAACTTCTAACGGTCCGAAATTAGCCAAAAGTGAATTTTTCTCTAATTTGCATTGTTTTGCCTAAGCAACCTGAAAAGTCTTTTAAAACTCCAAAACATGGAAAACACTTATAAAACCTTTAAAACTGATTGAAAACACCTGCATAAGATACTGAAAGTGATCCATAAATATGGTCAAAATCTGGTGTTATCAATATACTAACAAACCAAGATTCATAATCGATACAAATATTCACAGTTTACAGCCCAAATTTATAAATTTCAAAACCTTACCTCATCCTACGAGTCTCAATAATCACCGCCTCTTATGACTATATGAAGTCGCCGTGAGGACGGAGCTCGATTTCAAGGACTAATATCGATTCAAGAGAGTAGAGAGTTTGGGTATTTCATAAAGACACTTATGGCTTTGAATTGGGGAAAATCAATTTGGGGAAAATTGATTTAGGGTTTTCGTTTTGATTTGGGGAAGAACAAAAGAGAAGATGATATGTTTGTCGAGGCAGGATTTTTGGTCTTTTTGTCTACAAATTAAACCCACGTGTTTAATTCTTTTAATGTCGTATTAGAGTCTCTGTTTAATATTTAATCATGATTAAAAACTGATAGTTAAACTTACGGTTTTTGAAACTTTGGGTATAAAAGTTACAGTCAAACAAACATTAGGTATTATTAAGAAAGCGTCAATAGTTTGGGTATTTTTTGGCAAATGTTATAAACTTGAAGTAAATTTAAGGTTTTTTTCCTTTTTTTCAATAGTTGATTGCTTTTTGTTTTCAAATGCTATTAGAATCTGTTTTGTTTTTACTACATATGGTATGAGTTTAATCAACTTTATTAGGTAACTAGATACCTCTAATAAATTGGTAAAATTCATCCTCAGAATATTTAGTGCTTAGTCCTATACTATGTTCGATATTTAGTTTGCTTACAGCCTTTGATTTCTGGAGCCTTGATTATACTAATCAAGTGTCGAATTCCATTGCAGTGTGCCTTACTCGTGACCAGAAACATCAATCATATATTGCTCGTGGTGGTCCATGTTGGCTTCATCAACTCATTCGTTCTAAAGCCATTGCTGCTTAATTCCCCAAAGTTTCTCAGGCATTCGTTCCAAAGTCAGTCTAGTGTTATTTTCTCTATTTTTACCTTTTTCTGGTTTAAAGGAAAGGTTCACTACAACAAATTTGGGCATTAATAACACACGAAAAGCGCTATTATATAGGTTTAATAGCGTTTTCATAAACGTTATCACAGCGGGAGCTATAATAGGTCCCCCCCTAAACAATAGCATTTTTTCGTATGCTATGATAAGTTGTTATTTCATAGCATATTGTAAACGCTGTTTAAAAATCTGTAAGAGTGTTATTATGTGCTGCAATATATTATATTATATCATTTATAAATGCTGTAGTTTCTATTACTATAGCTGGTAGTTATTGCTGTACTAAAATTTTAGATAACACATTTTGTGAGCTACGATGTATATTATCGTAGCAGGAGAAAATATCCTTTTATGACTCTTGTTTTATGTCATCGTTTATGTGACCAAATTAACAGTTGTAAGATAGAAATTACTCAACCAAGTATCACATTAATAAAAAAACGTCATCATCCATACACACCAATTCAACTCAGCTCATACAAACTTTAACATAACATACAATCCGGTATCAGTACTACACATACATTCCTTCTCCGGCCAAGAAATAGAAGATAACATCTCTTACCTCATCCTAATACACGACCACTTTGTCCTCCGGCCAAGCAATAGAAGATCCAATTGCATCAGCCATACACTCTATTTCTGAAGATGGCCTCCAAACAGCAGCGTCTTTGACTTTGACAACGTCGACCCATACACGAACTGCTTTAGGTCCTAAAGGAACAAAGTGAACGACTTGATCTGAGTCGTTTGAAGCCCACCGTCCTTCAGCGACGACCCTTTTTTTCCGGTGACATCTATCAGCTTGCACTTCTGATTTTCAGCTCCAACTTGGTTGAGAATGTTATGCTGTCATGTGAACAACAGAGCAATGCATCTATAAGTAACTTATGTAAGATAAATTAAAACACAAAAAACAATGACTACAAACTTACTTGAGATCGCCGAGGAGATCTCCGAGGAGGTGATGGTGAAGGCGTCACAGACTGAGGATTTGATGCAGACTTCTCAGGAGGGGTTTTCGAACTTGTTTCACTTGAGGTTGGCAGAAAGACAATCTTATTTGCTGGCCAGGCGACGAATGACTTCAAGGCATCCCCAAGAATTGTCATTTCTGTTGTAGGCCTCCATAGGAATGTGTCAGGCTCCAATATGACATCCAAAAACACCTTAGCTGCACCTGGTCCAAGAGGAAGTCCGTTAACCAAAGCTTTGGGTTCTCGTGATTGCCAGCGGCCTTCAGCAACTACAACTCCCTCATTCCCAGCCCAATCCAGAATCTTGCATTTGTTTAAAGAATATGAGGTAGGACTCTGCGAAACAAAAAACATATATAAAAATTTAGGTAGATGTAAAACTAAATTAATAAATCTACTAAGATTAAAAGTGAAGAAAAATTACCCGTAAAGCTATATCTTCTGATATGATGAACTCGTTTTCTATTACAACACAACTGTTGGCAGGCCATGCAATCACTTCCCCCACCGCTTGCTCAACCGTAAACATATTTGGTGCAGGTCTCCAAAGAAAAGCCTCTGGTTTGGCAGCGGTTTCAACCAGTACTTTAACACAGTTGGGTCCTAAGGGAATACCATTCAGAAAAACTTCAGGATCAGAGGAAAGAACTCGGCCCTCGCCAACATTGTCATCACTGCCAGACCAATCTACCAAGACACACTTAGGGTGTGATCGTTTGTTCACACTCTGCAGAATGTTCATTGTTGATGAAAGTCAAATTACTGGGCAGATTTTAATATATCGTAGTATAAATGAATAACTGATCAGGGTTTAATGACTTACTCTTGGTGCTGAATTTTCACCAACCTCAGCTTCTTGTTTCTGTAATCATCAAAGACAAACACCTAAGTCGGCCACTAATCAAACTCTTGTAGACATTCACAAGTGTATCAGTTAGACGAACCTGGTTTTGCATCTTTGCAATAACAGCTTCTAAGTCCTGGACCTGTTGTTGCAACTTAAATTGCTGCTCTTGCATCTGAGCCATACAATTATTCTTCACTTGAAAGCAGGCTAATTTCGTCAAACTTATCCCTCTACCCATTGCCCTCAACCTCCCAGGATTATCCGGTCCTAAAACTTGAGATAGCAGATCTTCTCTTATGTTCGTTGTCGTGGATGAAGGAGCATCGCTCTCGAGTTCAGCTGCCTTTCTCTGATATACAAGAAACAATCCCAGAGTAAAATAAAAACTAAATCCATCTAATAAACCATTGTTTAAAGCAATAGAAAAAAACTTACTATCTTCTCAGCAGCGTTAGTATTCACCGGTGTACCATCTTTTTTTGTACGGGACTTTACCCAAACTCTAAGTCGAGTCACCTTAGATGGTTCTGCGCTTTCTTTTTTCTATACAAGATATACAATAGTCCATATCAAACGCACTAATGAGTATGCATATAGTATAAGAATTACACTTACCATATCTTCTGTAAGCCTGACCATTCCTCTACGACTACATGTGTGAGGTATCTGATTGAGTCTTCTTTCCTTGTACTTGTCACTGACCACCTGAACATGAATGTTATTACGATAGACGAGAACAAAATAACAACAAAAAAGAAGAAGATATGAATACCTTAAAAGCTGGGCTGGTTTTCCGTTTGACGAATTTACGCCAGTCAGCTGGATTAACATTCTTGGGTCGTAGGAAATTTCTGGCTTGATTGTTACTAGCTTTCTTGATCTGGCTCACTAGCCGTGACTTGGATGCCCTCTACAGACATTCCATCTGTTTAATCACAGCCGCCGTTTGGTACTCCTCATCAAGTTCAAACCTAGCCTGTAATTACAGAATCACAAAGTGAAACAAATATAAACAACGGTTTCGTTTCAGTTTTTAACAACAACATGAGCAAAAACAAATAATACGTCACCTGAACAGATTTCCATAAAACGGTTTTCAGATCCTCTCCAATCTTCCTCCAATCATCTATGACAACAGGAACATGTTCTCGCACCAATGGACCCAGATACGAAGATAACTTCACTGATCATGGACCACAAGGTTCTCCCATGTCAGTGAAGTCAACACGTTCCCGCGTATTTGGATCTTTGGCGATGTTTTTCATCTTCGTTGGTCCTCTGTGTTTCTTACGTTGTGTCTCAACTACATCATCTGCTTCCTCAGACACCATCGTTTCACCAACTGCATCATGTGCCTTGTCAGACACTATCGCATCTCCACCTAACCCTTGTTCCTCATTACTCCTTTCTTCATCGAACTCATTCTCAACTTCCGCGTTGTCTTCATTCAACTCCCGGCCTGCTGTCTGAGAAGCTGCTCCTGTCACTGAATCTATAACTGGTTCCGTCGGGTGCTGTGTCTCTTCTTCAACTTCGGTAGGGTGCTGTGTCTCATCTTCACCATTAGGACTGATATGTCCCTTAAATTCCACAACATCATCCTTCGCAGTCCTCTGTTTTTTAGCACCCCTTTTTGGACGACCCATCTTATTAATTCACCTGAAACCAGAAGATATATAGTTAGTATTAAAACTTTCACAAAGAGCAATGCAATCATAAGAGCCTGTAACTTCAAACTAAATTCAATAACTGATCAAACCCCATGCAAAATTTTATTAAAATGTAGAAAAATTTACACAACTAAAGGACTGTGGACAATTCCTAAACTATACTATTTATATATATATGCCTTCACAATCTGCTCGGGCATTCGCAGCCTCATCGTTAAAGTCATCGATGTCCATCTCAGCGCTTGACGGAAGCGGCCCAACTTCTACATTACCATCTTCAGGATTGTCTTCATTGTATCTCCTTGTAGGACCTCGGAGAACTACATACCAACTAGATGAATCATCTTCCTTTGAATAGAAAACTTGCTTGGCTTGAGAGGCTAGTATATATGGATCCTTATGAAAGGATACTTGGCTTTGATTGAGGTTGACAAGTGTGAAGCCATCTTCTATCTTGACACCGTTGCCTCTAACTGCCCATTGACACTTAAAAAGTGGAACGTAAAATACATTGTAATCCAATAGTATAATATCAGTGACCCTCCCGTAGTATTCTACCAAATCAACGACCTGTGAAGTGTCTCTTGCACTAGATCTACACATAGCTGTGGCCTCATAAAATACTCCACTATTCTGACTTTGCCTATGAACTGAAGTCGTGTGAAACCGCTGCCCATTCACTATATAACCAGTATATGACCTAGCAGTATTACGAGGATCATATGCCAGCCACTTGAGAGTTTCTTCATGTCTGTCTGAGATCATAGGTATCTATAAAACGGTGTACATAAGTTAGTGTACATTGACGACAACACTAAAAGGTTGACTAAACAACTTTAAAGAAGTATGTGATTGTACCTGTTCCTTTAACCAACACGCGAATTTCTGAGTGTGTGTACTCCATAACAATGTTGCATCGCGTCTACATCTTGCATTACTATCTTGCAGATGTTCAATATAAGTAAAAACGAATCAGTAAACTTTCAATATAAAAGAATGCAGAAAAGACTTAGGTATTTGTTGATACTTACTCGACAAATGGATCCACGAGAGCAGTGTTCTGAATGACAGCAAGATGGGCTATTTTTTTCTCCAATTCAGTAAGCTCAATAGTTGTGGCTGCGGATATAGGACGGCCTTCGAGTATAGAGTGGCTCTCGTAATCTGTATTTCTCTCTTGTTTGTCCTCTACACTTGTTGTTTTCTTTAGAAATTGACTACAGAATTGCATGCACTCTTCTGCGAGATAAGAATCTACAATGCAACCCTCTGGTCTTGCAGGATTTTGAACAAAGTCTTTAAGTACTTTCATATACCTACACATACTCTTACTGATGAGTAACGATAAAATGCAATTCGATCATCTAAAGTCCAAGACAATAACATACCTTTCAAATGGGTACATCCATCGAAAATGGACTGGTCCACCTAGTCTCGCTTCTCTTCCAAGATGAACTATCAAGTGCACCATGATGTCAAAGAAGCTTGGAGGAAAGAACCGTTCAAACATGCAAAATGTTTCCACGACTTCAGTTTCCATCACTGTAATTTGCTCTCTATCAATAACCCTCTGACACAGCAGGTTGAAGAATGCACAAAGTCTCGTAATTGCAATCCTACGACCCTTTGGAAGTAGTCCTCGCAGTGCAACCGGAAGAAGCTGTTGCATCAAGACATGGTAATCATGAGATTTTAGTCCTGATACTTTGCAATCCTCCAATGACACTCCCCTGGATATGTTTGAGCAGTACCCATCTGGACCTCTGAAGTCAAAAAGTCGCTTGCAAAATGTTTTTTTCTCAGTTTTGGACAAAGACCAAGGTGCAGGTGGAAGGTATGTTCTTTTACCCTGTATTTTAGGATGCAAGTCGTTTCTGATACCGAGAACTTGCAAGTCCTTTCTAGCATGAAGGCCATCTTTTGATTTTCCACAATGCAACAATGTAGCGACGATGCTTGCTGCAACATTTTTCTCCACATACATCACGTCTAAGTTGTGCCTTACCGGCAGTTCCTAGGCATTAAAAGTGTATTAGTTAACAACAACAACTAGGAAAAAACAGAAAAATAATTGAGCAACTATATAAAACGTTATTCAGACATACCTCCCAATAAGGTAACCTGAAGAAGATTGATCTTTTTTTCCATCTAGATAACTCGTCCTCATCTACTTCTTCTTCTTCTTCGTCCTCTGACTCACTGGACACACCATCGCTGTCAGAGTCCGATGCAACAGATACAACCCTTTTTCTTTTCTTTACTTTGTCTTTACCATTTCTGAAATCGTTTTTGTAATTTCTCAATATTTGAGAGATATTTTGACCCGTTAAAATCCTAGCCTTGTTCCCATGCTCAGCTTTTCCATCAAACCATGCCTTTTTAACCCTATATCTATGTGTCGGTGCTAGACCTTTTCTGTGGCACATGTAAACATGCTTTCTACTGTTCTTCAGCCACATACTGTCTGTGTGTTTTCCACATAACGGACAACCCATTTTCCCCTTTACTTTGCAACCTGCAAGATTCCCATACACAGGAAAATCACTGATAGTCCAAAGGAGGATTGCTTTGAGTTGGAATGTACTTTTACTAAAGGCATCATATGTAACCACTCCCTTGTTCGAGAGAAGCAGAAGATCCTCGATCAGAGGCTCTAAGTATACCTCAATGCTATTCCCAGGCTGATGCGGACCAGGAATCAACAAGGATAACATGATGTTTTCCTTCTTCATACATAACTTGTAAGCTTCATCCATGCCCCTTGTTACTAGGTGATCAACTACATCACTTGGTATATGACTCGCTACATTCCTACAGTCGAGAGCCCAAGCTGAATGTTCCTCTCCTCAGCTGCAAAAGCAGGGTAGTTGTCGTTTACTTGATCCCATGTCACAGAATCTACCGGATGACGTATTCTTCCATCACTGCTCTTGTTTGTAAAGTGCCACCGTAAGTCCTTTGTTGTTTCTTCACACCGGAACATTCGCTTGAGACGGGGCATAATAGGAAAATATCTTAAAACTTTCTGTGGCACACCTTTCTTTACTTCACCTGTGTGCATGTTTATCTTCCATCGTGAAGTGTTGCATTTAGGACAATTATCAAGCTTCTTGTACTTCTTTCGGAATAGACAGCAATCATTAAAACAAGCATGAATCTTCTCATAACCCATGTCAAAAGACTTGAGGAATTTCTTGACATCGTACAGTGAAGTGTGAAGCACATTATCCAAAGGCAGCATATCTGGCAAAGTCTCCAGCAGACTATTGAAACTTTTGTCCGACCATCCATTTTGTGTCTTAATCCTAAACAGTGACACTATTGCAGATAGATTGCTATGATTTGAACAGGTTGGATATAGTGGTGTTTCCGCATCAGCCAGCTTTGAGAGAAACTCATCTTCTAATCTGTCTTCACCTTCAGCTTCTTCTCCCTTTCTAGCCAGCTCGTCATCTAAATATTCAGCAGCTTGAAATAACCCAACTATCTCATCATTCCATTTACTTAAATTGCTTCCACCCTCAGCAACTAAGTTCACTTCTCCATGATGATACCAGTCAGCCCGCAACTTGTAAGCTTCATCCATGCCCCTTGTTACTAGGTGATCAACTACATCACTTGGTATATGACTCGCTACATTCCTACAGTCTTTGCATGGGCATACCAGCGTTTCAGTTTCTCCTAAAGCAGCAGACGCTGCTTCTACAAATTTCCAGACACCTTGCTCATACGCAGGATCAACCCTTCGGTTGATCAGTATGAACAGAAAATATAAAGACAGAAAACTCTTAAAGTGTCTAAAGATCAATATATGAAACCAAAACCTGCAAATATGTTACTATCAATACCTGCAAAGATGAACCCATCCCTTCTCCAGCATTATATGTTCTAACCTTAATGACAATCGCAACATTTCAAACACTTAACACCACTAACCGATAACCTAAACCACATTCAACTAATAACCAAATTCTAATACTAACAGTTCCATGGAAGTGACTTACCCGTTCAGGTTACAGTAGTCAGGTATTGTGAATTGAATTCCCTCTGACCCACAATGTTTCTTCAGAACCCTAAGCTTAGAATAACAGAGGCATGCAATTAAAAAACTGAAGTTAGTACATATGAACCCTAATTTTCGGATAGAAATTGGGAACGAACTAAATTACCTGTACAACTTCTCTTGGTTCTGGGTTCGGTCTTGATTATCAGACACCTCATGACATGCAAGAAATTTCGGATAAAAGTAAGGAAACAGGAACGAACTCAAATCAAAGCAAATTAGAAGTTTTAAACAAGAGAGGAGAGTCGATTAAAGTAAGGTACCTTTTCCTGTTACTCGTCTGGAAGGAAAACAAGAGAGGAGTGCCGATTCGATCCAACAATAGTGAGACTGAGACTGCGGATAAATGAGATCTAGGTCGTAATAACACCAGACGGAACTCAGAATGAAATTGCGGCTTACAGAGACGAGATTGTCGCCGGCGAGAAGAAGATCTGGTCGGTATTCGCTGGCGAGACGAGATTTTGTTCTAAGCTTTTTTTTTTGTCTGCGTCTAAACCCTTTCTCGACTTAACCCTTATTTTTTTCTAAGTGTTAGTGAAAAAATGAGAGGCAAGGAGAGATTTGGCTTCCCACTTATGATTATTTTTTCTAAGTGTTCCCGCATAAGTGAAAAAATGAGAGGCAAGGAGAGATTTGGCTTCCCGCTTATGATTTCAACGGGGTAGCGTTAGATAAATGCTGTGATAGGGTAACTCAATACTTCGACTAATCTGTAATAGCATTTTAGTAAACTGCGCTATAATATTGTGCTATCATTGCCCAAATTTGTTGTAGTGGTTTATTTATGCCTTTAATTTTCTTTGTAAAAATACTTACTAGTATCGTTTGGTGTACTCTGGTTTATGCTTGTCTTATCAATGACAGCGTTAAAAAAAAATAAGAATTGGTAATAATCTGAAAGACAGAAATTTTATGGTATTACTTACGAAGATGAACATTAATTATTTGCTGAGTTAATTTTTTGAAGTTTCTACGAAAACAAATAGATTTATAGTAATATTGTTACTGTTTGGTAAATAAACTGAAATAGGTTTTACTCATATAAAAATTGAAATAGGTTTTATTCATATACATTGTCTACCCTGTTCCACCTGGGGCTTATTGAACACTCTGCAGATTTTCTCTGACCTATCGGGGCATAAGATTATCACGGTGATGATCACGCATTATCTTCAACTGGTCTAAGTTTCGGGGCCCCTGTTGACGTTATATCAGCATATTTGGGTCAATGATCAACGATTTGTTATGGGCTGAAATGGTATTTTTTTTTTTTATGTGTACGTTAGTACACAGTGCTGTGTGTAGGTTTATAGGGACTCAAGGGAAAATTAAAAAAAAATACCTTTTACTTTTTAAATAATATAATATAATCTCAAACGATATAAAATATTTAAAGCCAAAATTTAATTTTAAAAAATTAAGACATAGTATTTCCTTCTTTTTCAATAAAGATTTTAAGTGATTATCAATACGATTTATTTATTTATTTTATTTTCAAAAATTCCAAAATGAAATCTAAGATTGAAAATCAGAATGGTTTTGTTCATCTTCTTCGTACCACTATTCAAAAAAATCTATGATAAACAAGAGAGAAAAACATGTAATAAAGAGATGAAATGAAACACAGCCACACAGAGGAATAAAAAATGAAGATTCATTTTCAAACTTTCGATTTACCTATTTTTTTCTCGTTTAAAAAAGGGACCAGTATGGAGGAAGAAGCAACACTAGGAATACTGCTAAAGCGAACTCCCTATTCACAAAATCCTCTGTGTGGTTGTATTTCATCTCTTTATAACTTGAGTTTAAGAGATTATCACACTTGGATTTGAACTCGTTTGTACAAAAATCCCACTTTAGCCAAACAAACTTTTAAAAATCAAGGACCTCAAAACATTTATATCATATGGGGGCCTGAGGCAAAAGCCTTAGGCAAGGCCCTGGGACTAAACTCATTAAATTCGTTTGTTTTGCGCAGATTAAGAATTTTTCATTTGAATTTGGTATGTTTTGGAAGATTCATGATACAGCTTTTCAGAAGAGGAACTGCCAATTTGATTCTATCAGGGAAGTCGAGGTCAACGGCCATAAAAGCCTTTGGCATGAATTTGATATAGTGGTGTTCGTTGTCAGGCACGCAAGATCTCTAGAGAAGTTAAAGTTGATAATGCTTATAAACATAAGAAACTGAGCTCACGGACCCGATTATGCAAGGATAAGTAACATAAAAAAACATGTTTCTGGAGGAAGTTCAAGTAAAGGAAGTTTAATTTCAGGTTATGACACTGTAACAATAATAGAATTCTGATGTATTTGAAACATCATTAAGAGTGAAACATGTTAACTGTATGTTGTGTTTTGATGATTGTATGTAATGTTTGAACTCTCTTATTTATCTATTTTTGGTTTCTCTGAGATTTGAACTCTTTTTGTTTTCGATTTTCTTTGAGTTTTGAGCATATTTGGGATCATTGAGATCAAAGTGCTTTTGGACTAATCTACCAACATATTCCCATGCTCATACACCAACAAAAAAGAATCGAAAAAACAGTTGATGCTATTTTGTAGTTTGTATAAGTTAACAGGTTATATTATTAATTTGGTTGGCATCCGTTGAGTAAATCTGACACTAACCAATCTGACACTAACAGATCTGACACTAACAGATCTGGACTTGCCGGAATTTATTTTCCGAAAAGCATGTACAGCACGGTACCGACGTCGGATTAACGCCGGCACCGGCCAAAAAGAAAACGAAGGACACGAAGAAAAAGTTTCAGAAAGAATAAGGAGAGTTTTCTCTTTCTAGAGTTAGAGAGCGGTCTTCGTTAAGATTCAAAACCGCAAGCCTAAGTGGTGTATATATGGTTTCTTATTCCATTTGGATTTCTCGACACTTTTTCTTGGAATAATTCTTGCGGCCGCCCTGTTTTCTTTTTTAATCCTTGATTTGGTCTATAGACTACGAAATAAAACTAAATACAGTGGTATTAATAAGTTGTCTAAACTAAGTTACATGTAATGTGTTTCAGGGATTTTCGGTCCTTGAGTAAGGGTAAATCTCCTGCAAAACAGAAAAGACGTGAAGGCCCGGAAAATACGATGGGGGTATATTTTCCGAAGGTTCTTCGATGTTCAAGTTAGAAAACAGTTCAAAAGACCACCAAATAGCTAATCAGAGAGCGAAAAGAAATCGGAAAACTATAAACAGAAAGTAAGCCGAGAGTCCTTGAGAAAGGTAGGATCCGCTCGGGTCTTTGAATAAAAATGGGCTTTTTGAGGTGGAAAAAGAAGAAAATAAGAGTTTGTTGGTGAAGAATCTCCATGGTTTAGGAACAGTCGTGGAGGAAGAATGAAGTGGGATGAGCGGAAAGTCGTCGGAAAAGTATATAAATCCTGGACTTAACACCACAAGTATCTAAAAAGATATCGTGAGACTTAAGATGGTTGAAGATGTGAATCCCTTTCCCATGGGAAAGAGCAAGATATTTATAGAGAGTACCTGACCCGGATTACTATACTGGATCGATCCACCGATAATGAGTCGGATGGGTTAGCCCACGACCCCGACTTGACTGGGTTCGAATCTTGTGTTGGCGTCATGCCTATGACGGTTTCATCAACTTTTCTTGGCGTGTTCTGCCTGCTGCGAGACTGTTCCTTGGCGCGTCCCTTTCGTCTCCAGTGTACGAGTCGGGTAAGCAGTTTAGACACAGTATGGGACTATGTTGAACCTCTGCTTTTTCTCCTAGCTCTTGCGAAAGGTTATTATCACCTGACACACGTAAAGTATATGAATGCCAATGTCGTGGATTTGTAAGGTACAAGTAACTAAATCAGACTAAGGCATATTTTTTTGCCGAATGGAGAAAAATTAAAATAGTGTTACCGCCTAAAAAGTCTACTCATATCTGACCCGGTTTCCTCGAAACTGGGACCGGACTGCCGAGAATGGATGACTTTGCTCTTTGGATACTTGTGTGGACCACACTTCTTTATATCCTGATCTTTCCGGATTACCGAGCTTAGGTCTATGATATAGAAACTGTAGCATCTCCTCCTCCTGATTATTCAGTTTTCGAATTCTTTGTTTCTGATAGTGTGATCTGCACCGTCAGACACGAGGAGTCCAAAAATAGTTGACCTATCGTGTTGGATCTCCTGAATTTAAATGGATTTGAGGTCTGATGCTATAAATTTAGGCCCAATATGTATTCTAATTTAGTTTAGAGGAGTCACACCTACAAAAAAGCCATAAATACCACATGTAACATTAGTCCAAAAATGAATATAAATTTTAGCCTAAACATATATATTTTATTTTATGGTATTATAATGTTTGTGTTCTCTGATTATTAAAAAAACATTGAACGAATTTTTTTTAACGAATCCTTAAATTGTTCATTTAGTTATATGCCAATTAAGAACTTCTAATAATAAAATTAATCAGATACATCAATTAAAGAGATGTAACTAATATTAACTAATATTAGTAAGATTTTCAACTAATGCCATGCATATTTTTTTGCAATTAGATTGTAGGACAAAAGATAGAGAAATATAATAATGATATTAATAAATGCATATCTTTGGATCTTGATTATTCAAGTGAAAACTCAATTTCATATACCATAATATGGTATCAAAAATCAATAATATATAATTTGACTATAGTAATATATTAATTAAAGTATTGTTTTGAGAAAGAACACATTGACCAAATTTTTTTTTTTGTTTTAAACAAGTACTTAAATATTCAACCAGTTATATGCCAATTTAGAACTTCCAATAGTAATAGTAAGAACATAACTTCCTTTGATTAAAGATAAGTACCTAAAACTAGTTAATATGTTAGTAAAATTCCCAATTAATGGCATGCATATTTTTGTTTTCAATAAAATTTAAGAAATATAATAATGATGTATGAATGATGAGTCTTTTTTTTGTTGCCATTGATGTATACATATCTTTGTATCTTGATAATGCAATTAATGACTTTTAAAAACAAATCAGTTGTATATGGCTACATGCCACAGTTAAATTGCACAAAATCTCAATAACAAACATTATTTGGTTTAAAAAGAAGAGTAATCAATAATAATTAGATTTTTTAAAAAAACTTAATCCTCAAATCTTTTGGTCGGTGAGAACCGATAAGTGTTAGAATAATAAAGGAACTGTGTGTGTGTCAGAGACTCGAACGATTTGTTGTTTTGCTTTTCCTCTACGTTGGTGGAATCCTAAGAACAAAACCGTGTGAGGCTTAAACCGACAAACGAACAACTTGTCGCCACGTCAGCACATGAACCTCCCACGTTGATTCCTTCTTCGACTCAGAATTCGCCACGTGTATTATCCCAACGGCTAGTTTTCTTTAGCCGTCTTTTGCTTACCACCATGCACCAGAAAGGAGGGAGGTGGCCAATTTAAAAATTAAAGAATTGAAGATATTTTTGCCTAAGGAAATTTCCAGTCTTTTCTCGTTCTATTAAATGAATAAATTGACTAAAAAGTAAAAGACATCAGATAAAAAAAATAAATAACTTATATACTATAAGTACAGAGAAGTTAAGCTCACTTTCTTGTCACAATTCTAAATCAACAAACAAAAAGAAAAAAGAAAAATCACTCATTTTTCTCAACTTCGTTCATTTCCCGCAAACATACTTCGACACTATATCGACAAATCTCTGAATTCTTCGGTTGAAAATCTCACTGTTTATAGGTTTTTTTCTTGCTCTTTAGATTCTCTTTCATATGTTCTTTCTTTATATCTCTGTTTTTTGTTTCGAGTCTCTGAAATTCGAAAAAGATCTGACTTTTTGTTTCACTTTTTTTATCTGATGCAGATACCATCTAGTAAGAGTCTTTGAGTATTTCTTAAATCTAACGACAATGGCATTGGGGAAGAAGAGAATCGTTGCCCAGAAATTGAATCCGAAGCATCGTCGTGATGCCGATGATGGTGGATTAGGGTTAGAGTTAGAGTTTGTTCAGTACAAGAGTGGATTTGGGAGAAAGAGAATTCTAATCTCAACAGATGATGAGATTGGAGATTCGGTTTTCACTTCACCTGTCGGAAAAATCACGACGAAGAAGCTCTGCGATAAAACTTTAGTTGCAGTTGCTCAAATTCGAGAACTTGAAGATCTTCCGCAAGATATTCTGGTTCGTTTCATCTCTAACTCCTTTTTAATCTTGTTTTGATTGTCTGGGGTTTTCTAATTAGTTGAGATCTCATTTTAATTTATGGGATATAAATCAGATTTAGCTGAAAGTTAAAACCTTTTTGCTCTTTGAGATTCAAAATGGTATTGGAACTGAGAAAGTGTTCAACTTTAGTTAATTTCATCAAACACTCGTTTTTATTTATTTCTGGGTTCTATTAATGCGTTGAGATTTCATGTTTTATTTTTAACAGATTGAGTTGAGATTTCGTATTGATTTCAGATTGAGTTGGGATTCTTTTTGTTCTCTATGATTCAAAATTGTATTGGAAATGAAGAAGTTTTCAAATTTCTGTTAATTAGTTGGGATTTTATGATAATTTACGGAGTGGTAATTAGATTGAGCTGAAAGTAAACACTTTATTGTCCTTTGAGATTCAATTTTTGTTCTCTGAGATTCCAAGTCATATTTGAAATGAGAAATTGCTAAACATTTTGGTAAATTTCTTCAAAAAATTCCTTTTTAATATCTTTTTGTGATATCTGGGTTCTGTTAATTAGTTACGATTTCAAGTTAATTTATAGATTGTTAATTAGATTTAACCGAAAGTTGAACCGATCTTGTTCTGTGAGAGTCAAAATCGTATTGGAAATGAGAGAGTGTTCAAATTTTCCATTTCTGGTAAACTTTTGGTAGTGTGCTGATTTGAACATTTCATAGAGAATTATTGAGAGAATTTTGTGATTTATTTCAGGTGAGGATTATCTGTGGGGTCGAGCATGAAGACTTGAAACAATTGTTTCATGTTTCAAAGACAATAAGAGAAGCTGTAAGTAAAATTGGGATCATTGATAGATTTCGTAATGATACATCATTAGTTTATATATGTTGATCAAATTGTTCCTTACTTTATTGCAGACATTGATCGCAAAGCAGTTACACTTCGCGTATAGTACACCTCGGAAAACCTCTGTTTTCCACAATCCGTTTGGTTTATGCGATGACAATGATGATGAGATTGAAGCCCCAGGAGCTCCATTGCAGAAAAGATCCCGCCTTTCGCGGATAAACCGCAACAAGGACGATTCTGGAGTCTCAATGGCTCTGTTCAACTAAATCAAACAACTTGGTTTGAGGCGAATACCATCAACTCTGTTTCTTCAAGCTACTTAATTGAAGAAAAAGGGCTTTAAGTTTATGTTATTTAGTTTTGGTCTGAACAAGTCTCTGTAAATTAAAGAAAAAGGGTTTTAAGTTTATGCTATTTAGTTTTGGTTTGGGCAGTCTCTGTAAATTGAGGAAAAAGGGTTTTAGTTATGGTTAGATAAACAGAAAGATAGGGTTTTGGAAAGGATGTAGCTTTGTTTAGAAGGTCTCAGAAAAAAGAACTCTTTGGGAGTCCATTTTTTTTGTTTTGGTATGTCGTGTAATGTGAATGTAGTTTATTTGAGTTTATATATAGTGAACTAATAAAAGATGAAATATTTTTATTTCACAATTTTTGTGTCCTCTTGATTTCATTTTAAAAGTGATTATCATTTTTGTGTGTCCTCTCCTCTTAAAAATACAACATATGCTCAAACTTAAACATCGGTTATAACTTATAAGTTATAACATTGCAAGTACTACAAAATATTAACCTAGAAGTTTTGGTCGATCTATAGTTTAACTATTTCAAAAGTTTAATCCTAGAAACAAGGGTCACAACTCACAAGCATCAGTTGGGGATAAATGGGCTTGATCGTATGGGGCCTTTAAATAAGAAGCCCAGCTCATATTCTTTTTTTTTTTGCTTTTGATATTTTAATCTCACCCCTAATAGTTTTCCGATTGTACAAATCTTATCAATTCTATATCACTCTTGTATTTCTTTGTTTTTGGTTAAAAGTTAAAACTAGCCGTTGATTTCTCTTTGGTGACGAGTTGTATCAGTCTATCTGTTTCTCCTGAATCTTCGTGATTTATGTTTTGTTTTGTTTAGATATCTATTAGATCTAAGATCATGTCAGATCTAACAACAAAATATGATATGAAAGATCATAAGTGAACAGTGAGCGTGATAAAGGTGAATGGGATATAGAAAATCATTTTTTTCATTCATTTTCATAAATCATCTATATTTACAAAAAATTTAACAATCAAACTCAAGACATCTATAAGCGTATTTCATTTTTAGGGCTTGACTGGTTTAAACGTAGCGGTTGTGGTTAGTTGCGAGTGCGAGAGTTTGCTGAAGCAGACGATTGCGGTTTTGAGCGTTATTCAGCGGTTTTGAGCGTTATTCAGCGGTTTGTACGACTGGTTAATTTTTTTAGAGCGGATCCGTTTGCGGGATAATTTTAACTGGCAACCAGCGATTATTTTAGCGGTTAAATATAAAATTACCAAAATAAACATCATATATAATTATAAAACAAACAGAAAAATATATTATTATGATTAATATCAAAATCAATAGTTTAAAATAATTAATAAATTATAAATAAATATTAAATAATTATTTTAAAATTTAATATATTTTATTATAATATATTTTATTTCAATCATTGGGAACATCACCCAGAGTTGTGTTTAGTAATGTAATACACTGGAAAAATTTTGCTCCAATACGTGGATCTTCTGGATTTTCTTATGCATGATGTAAAATTTCTTCAATTGATCTAATCGATTTTTTACACGATCCAACTCAAATCAACTCCAAATTGCTCACTAGTATTCTTCAAAATACGTTCTTTCTGGAGTGCACTCAAAAATTTAGGATATTTATCTTGACTTTTTTTTCACAATAATCCGTTAAAATAACGTACATGTCATCTCGTTTGATTATGTAACTTTCTGAAGAAAGAAAACAAGAATTATAACAAACTAATTTTATAATTAATAAGATACATATTTATAATTTCTTAATTTAAATTTAAATGTGGAAACAGAACAATTAATATAAATAAATTAAACTAAAATATTATGGTATTAATGTTTGTATCTTAATTTTTTCAACTGATATGAAAAGTCATGATTATAAACTAGAACTTGATAAAAAAAATGAGAGATTAGAATTTATATATATTTAAGAGAAGATTAGTAGGGTTAGGATATTATAATTGTTTTAATGTGATTTTTTTTTCTAGCGTGAATTTATTTATTTTTATTTTTTTATTTAACCGCTACCGCCCGCAACCGCAAATGCGGGTGGGAAGATTTCAGCGGTATAAAACAATACGAAGCGTTTTGCGGCGATTTCTATAATTGTGATAAAACGCCATTAACCGCTACCAACTGCAAATGCTGCGTTTGCGGAAGATAGCGGATAAACCAATCAACACCTTAATAACTAACTTGGTGAAAGTGTTATGAATCGCACATCTAGATAAGATGAAACCATCAAACTGGCATGTCTTCTCTACACAATTGGATGAAATTACATTCACAGTTTTTCCCTCCTCTTCGCTTTATCTTATTTTCGAAGCTCTTTAAATTCTCGAGCTGATTGTTTGGCTTGTAGTACCATATTACACTATTATGATTTTAGTTTTTTAGGTTCCGATACTTGTTTCTGAATCTCCAAATCATTTTCATGATATATTTTTTTGAACAAAAAAAAAGTAATATGAGACCACTCATTCATTAATAATGGAAACTCATTGACATTGACACAAAGTAACGAAGGTTAAAATGAACAGTTTAATTTGTTTGCGTGATACGAAGCGAATAAGAATGCATAGCTAATTAACTAGACTGTTTAAATATGGTTAGTTTAAGTTTATGTTGAAGCTTAAGAACAAGACTTCCCCTTTAGTTATTATCAACCCTATCATCCTATCTTGGAGCATAGATGACTCCCATGTGGACCTTTATGCCATTCCACTAATTTACAATATGTCTTCGTCAAGCGATCTCAAGTTATTATCATTTTTCTTTCACGAGTTTGTTATCATTGTTTAACTGGCTCACAATCTTGAATTGGTCTAGTTGTTCGGAGATATTCGGATCAGTGATTCGGTTAAGGTATAATCTCAAAAAAGTATGGGTAGCATAATTTCAAGTTATGTCACCATAAGACATTGAAAACAGTAATGTTATTATAATTTTTAATTAAAGATTCAGATTGTAATTCAAACTAGTCTTTGAAAATCTAGTTTCGATCTAATAAAACGATGACCAATAACTCCTAATTTATTATCACATGATGATATATATAACCATTTTAGGCTTTTATATAGACTATAACATTTTATATTAATGAATCATTGAATAATAATTTGATTATTTGATTATTATATTTTTCGTGAAAACTAAGGAATATGTTGTAATGCGTTTGCACATATGAATATCTCCCTTCTCAACTACTCAAACGTCGATGTCATGGATCACTTTCTTTTTGTCTTTCCACACCTAACTTTTGGATTGTTTTACATAAATTATACTTTACTTACGGCTCTGTATAATTGCATAATTTACCTTGTAAAAGTACAACGTAGTGTCTTTTTTAATCTATTAAATTACAATATATTACAATACAACATGCATTTGTCTTTTTTTTTTTTGGGTGTAAATGTAAGCATGTGGTTTTGAACATGACAAAAACATCTAATACCCTTTAACCCATCCCTGCATAGGCAATTTCGTGTGTCTATAATCTTTTATCGTGTTCCTATTATATAATACATATTCACACGTGTGTATAATAAACAATTTCTACTAAAAGAGCGAATTTATCAAAGAAGAAACGAAAAAAAAAAATTATAACACAACTTACTGCTTGCATAGAGCATGAAATATCGATTAGTGAATTTGTATCTTAAGATCAACTTTTTGAGAAACATTACAAATTAGCTTCTTGATCCATAAACTTCGTATACGTTGATAAATATGTGCAGTGGCTAGCTAAACTGTCTAATCTTCAAAAATATGGCTAGCTAAACTGTCTATCTTTAAAAATATCAAAGAATTTTTTTTTATGAAAATGTTCAGAATATTAATGCTTTATACTACATAGGTGTGTGCAAATTTGCAATCTACGAGTCGCATTAAATTTCCTTCAAATGGCTAAACAGCTAACGAAAACTCAAAAAGTCAACAAAAAATTCATGTGATATTCATCAATCGTAGCATTTATGATGATATCAATAGAGAAATAGCTCTTCGATGGATGGATATTTAGGAAGTCAATTAATACCAGAAAATAAATAGAAGTAAACACATGGATATTATAAGAAATTTCGAGTGAACAATAAAACCAGATATGAAACTTTTCTTTACGTAAAAAACTAATTTATCATATAGGATCTAAATTTGGAATCATGTGATGAGAGGTAGCCTATCCATTTGCTTTACATTCAATATTTGCTGTGTTTTGGCTCTTCATGTTTAGTCACGGACCATATCTTGTTTCCTTCAATATACATACATTGAGTCAACTGTTTGTACATCTTATTCGTGTTATAAGATCAAAGGTTTGAAAATTATAGTATATACAGATATAGTATACGTATATCCCATAACTTAATACCAAAGTAGATGAATGAAAAAGCTTATACATCTTATTCATATAAATATACCTGGTAATGCATTACCGTGAAAATATCGTCCTCCTCTACTTTTCGCCTTTCGGACAAGTTAATATATTATCAATAATCTATCCAATGTTTAAATAGAGTAGAGAAAGATTTCAAATTTCCTCACTATATGCTAATAACAAGTTTTACACTTAATTTGATATATACTATCTAGATAGTTTGTCCCAAATAAAACGAGTAATGAAGGAGTCGTAACACTCTTACATTACTACCAAATTTTTTAGACCTAAAATCCTGCTTTCACTTTTTCTCTTTATCTTATTTTTTCTTATATTTTGAATGTTAAAGCATATTGTTTGGCGTATAGGAATAAATCATGATCATCTGATTTTGTTCTTTTGTAAATTATGTTCTTGCGATTTGCTTAACAGTACTAATTGATTACTATAAGTACGTATGCTGACTAAGAAAAGTGAAATGTAGATAACAAAAACAATAGGAAATAAGATAAGAAAAGTACTTGTACTATATGTCTACCAGCTTCACCATTCATAACCATTTCCACTCCCGGGTTTCTCGTGCTCGTGCATATATCAAATGGTCCTTTGGAGTTAAGATTCAAACTAATATAAAGAAAATTAAAAAAAAAAACTATATAATAGATTTGTAGGGGTGGATTTTATATGAGTTATGAGTGACTTTCAAGTTCTCTTGATCACTACCAATTAAACAAAAAAAAAAATTTCTTACATCAATTTTATTTTCACTTAAAATGTAAATTATAAAACAACAAAATATGGGGTAAGTTTATTAAGATTTGTACTCGAATTATCTAAAT